CCTTTTGGGTGATGACCAAAAGCAAAACCGTGAGGGCTAAGGCCCAAAGCGGACAATATCTCATCATTGTGGAGTATGTTTGTAATAAAATTATAAAAATAACACTCATAAAATATCCTCTCAGACAAATACCATAAAAATAACCCCATCAGTGGTATCAGAGCCGCAGGTTGGATTCGGTGACAACCAATAACCCCGTATCAGAGCCGCAGGTGCATGAAAGGTTAGGTCCCTTGTTAATAACTTATATAATACAAACATACTTCAATGATTGAGAGGCCTTTTGGGTGATGACCAAAAGCAAAACCGTGAGGGCTAAGGCCCAAAGCGGACAATATCTCATCATTGTGGAGTATGTTTGTGTAATAACTTTATAAAAATAACTCATAAAATATCCTCTCAGACAAATACCACAATATAACCCCATCAGAAAGAAAAGAAATTAGGATAGTTAAGAGGTTAATAATATCTACCAATTATTATATAAATTTCCCGTTACATCCTATACCTACATTATGGTCGATGATTATATCAAGTCCATAAAGGGGATGCTTGTTTTATACAAAAATGGTTTGTTTTGTACTGGACTTGTTCAAAGAGTATTTGATACTATATGCATACAATGGCTGTTCGATGAAAAACAGACGCTGCTAACACTATACATTTTAGCTTCCAAACACATGGCACAATGCCAACCACAACTATAGGGGTTGATATATTCTCCTGTTTGGTAAAGCTTTAGAGCATATGCATGCAGCAAGCAGACCTAGAAAATGCCTGAGAATGCAATTTATATAATAATGCTTCCATGTAATAATTAAGGCTTTAAAATGATTGCATTGTGGGAATCTTTATGCCATTTTGCTGCAGAAAAATTTATTTTGTATTGTGTGTGCTTTGAGATTGAGTTAAGGTTATTGCTTTGTTCCTTTGTCATTTCAGTCATCCTCTGTTGCCTCAGCTGGCTGTTGGTGCTGCTCCTAGTCCCTACTCTCACCATGTATGTGTTTCAATTTTTTTTTTAAGGTTTTTAAATGATTGCATTGTTTGGACCTTTATACTACTTTTTGTTGCTGAATAATTTATTTTGGATTGTGCGTGCATTGACATTGAGTTAAGGTTTATGGCTTTATTCCCCTGTCATCGAGAACAAGACATAAAATAAATTATTTAGCAACTTGTCATTTTTTAGAAGGGAAAAAAAGAGATATAGCTGGTAGTTAAGCATAATCACAAAAATGCATTTTAAAATTACAAATATTTTATAAGATATCTCTTTCCAACCGCATTTTTTTTCAAATAGAAGACTTGAAACTGAGATTTTATTTAAAGAAATTAAGTCTAGTACCACTCGAATTAATGACATGTTAATATGCGATGTGTTTACCATAAACCATTAGATACCCTATGTCAAAATCTCTCTCTATATATAATAATAATAATAATAATAATAATAATAATAATTATTATTATTATTATTATTATTATTATTATTATTATAAGTTACACAAAACTGTAAGGCAGGGAAATAATTTTCAAATAAATAACTGTTCAATTACCCAATTTTTTCTTTTATAATTGACAATTGAGTTGAAGCCCAAATGTTTCTTAAATTTCTATTTTTATTTTATTTTATGACTTTTTATTATTTAATATCTATTGTGATTTAAGCCTATTTTACAGAAACTAGAAAGTTAGCAAAGCAATTATCTTACGAAGTTATTGTCATGTTTTTCATTTTACAAAAGCAGATTTAATTTCCTCTTGGATCTAAAATATTTTTTATTCATTTTAAATTAAGGTCAATTTGGCTTGATGGGAAAGCAGCAAACTGAAAATAATTTAGGCTAGGTTGAGTTGACATAAATTATCATTTGGCCCTTTTGACAGCTTTCGTCACATGTCTTGAGGCTAAAATGAAAGCAGACATAATATTATTATTAAGTGTATAATGGTAAAAATAATTTGAAAAAAGAAGATTCTCTTGTAAATTGTTATTGTTATTTGTTAGAGATTACAATTACAATCATCAACGGATGAACTCTAATTATTTTGCTCAAACATGTGCTGATTAAATAGATCAAAGCCCTGTTCAAATCCTAAACGCTGCATCTAGTTTTGAAATCGGAGGGAAAATGCAACTTCCTGCTCAATCCTTATTGTGAGGTGAGATCTTTAGACGATTCATTCTCTCCCTGCTTCTTCTAAATTTAACTCAGTGCTGCGATCTCTGATTTTTATTTCAATCCTTTCAAACGCTTAACCTTTGTCGTAGATTCCAAAATACTTGTTGAAAGAACGAAGACAGAGGAGGAAGAAGAAGCAGAAGAGAGGAAGACGCATGAGGTACAGTACATCCTCAGAATCATCTGATCCAGATTCTGCTTCAGACTCTGATTCTGATGATAGAAGCAGCTGAAGAAAGAAGAGGCATAATCGAAGACGCTGAATGAGACTGAAGAATGTGTTGAACAACTAACAGTTTGGTGAGTTGGGGGACAAGGATGTTTATGACGAGGAATGTACAATAGAATTTTTTTTTGAGTAATTAGAATATAATAAATAAGCTTTGTTAGATGCTAGGGTTGTGTTTTTTATTTCTTTGATTACCATGTTATCCTGAAGATACTTGGAAATTTGATTTAATCTTTCAGCATTTAATTCTGTGGATGTGCTTATGTTTTTATTGAGATGTTTATGCTGTCATACTCAGATACTTTCATTTACAACATAATTCCGGTGTTGTTTGAGACTTTCATGACAGAGTTGGTTTTGCATATTGTCTATCTGAGGCCTTTCCAGCATCTTGACTACATCAAATTAATTGAGTTTGCTTGTGCTTATTGCTTACTTTGATTTGGCATGTATATTATCTGGCATATTTTGGTCCTTAATCATGGATTTTTAATGGTAATTATTTTTCCCCCAAATAGTAACTCTATAACAATTGAGGGTATGCCTTGATGCAACGTAAGGTTGCTGCTTTATGACCCAAAATCAATTTGTTAAAATAGCATTGCACTTTTTTTATATGATGTGTGTTTCGACTTTTGAGCTAGCTCAGTGCATCTTCTATTATGTTAGGGTGCTTGGAAAGTTGTAGAATGTACAACGTGCATTGCATTTCATTTGTACTCTTAAATATTTTTTATTTATGAATATATAGTATTTTAAAGTTGATAACAAAAAATTAATATATGTTTACGAGATGTGATTTTTATTAACCAAATATTATTTTAACACAGTTTATATTCTTAAATTTGACATTAGTTTGTTTTCAATGCTACGTTACATGGGTCTTCCTCAGTTTCAAGGTTTGATACTCTCAGAGGATATTAGATAGAAGTTTGCAATAGAAGCACTTCTGAATGGACAAATTCTGCCTCGGGTACCTTTTCTTCGTTGTTCAATGTTTGATACTCTCGTGAGGGTAAACACCTATCTTATTTATAAGTTGTTATATCTTTATTTATCCATAATTTCTAGAAAATCTTGATTAAATGTTTTAATTTTATTAGAGCAAAGAAAAAGGCTAACGCATGTGCGCGTGATGCCAGAACAAGAAATAATGGTTGTATACAGGCATATATCAAATATTTTGGTTGATGTCAAAATGTTCATTAAAATTTTAAAAAATGTACGAGATGTCATTCATATTTTTCAGGACGTATATGTTTTTGAAGGATAAAAAATAATAATCAAAAGACACACTACACACGAGATAAAAAAAAAAAAAAAAAAGTTTTGTCTACTCGTGATAATATACACAATTCGATCGAACAAATGTGGTTCATACAAAACGTTAAATACCACCACATTACCAAACATAATGTCTTTCCCGTCAAAATCACTTTAATTTAGTGGTACTTGAGCAATTGTCGAATAAATGGAAACGTGCAACAATTAGAAAGTGGGCCTCACTTGTTCTAAAATTTCATTACCGTATTTTTGTAATATTGTTTTGATCCGTTAGGTATGAATCATATAATTTCATTAGCAAGATTAATCGTTCCCGAATTTAGAACTAGCTAATTTGTGTTGTTCATTTGCTAACTGCAGTACGGTGAAAATTGATTTTAAAATGAAATAATTCATGACAAATAAAAAACGTCAACCATAAATACTATAAAAATAATTATTACATTTTAATGGTGCGCCTTACTTTCTCTTTGATCTCACTTTTATTCTTATATCTGTTTTCATTTTCTATATTCGTCACATCTATTACTTTTTCCCTCCTTACTTTTTTTACACCCTTACTCTTTTACTCTATCTTTCTTTTATACACCTAAAATATGGAGTTGTACCTTCCAGATCTCTAATTTACTAAGTTGACCAATCAATGACTCTTCGTATCGCTAATGCTCGAGCTAAGAGGGTTATGTACCCTCCTGGTCTCTAATCGACCGAGCAGGCCGAACAACACATACTTTCTTGGTCTCCAATTAGTCGAGCAGGCCGAACAACACATACTTTTCTGGTCTCCATCCGACCGACCAACCTGAACTTTATCCCTTAACATTTCCCTTAATTTTTAAGTTAAGAATAATTTATAAAACACCTTTCCCTTAATTTATCAAGGTATTTTTTCAAAGATAAGATTGTGAGGACTCAATAAACACCAAAATAAACAATATTTCAACTATGATGAATCTAGGCAAACTTTATATTATAACAAATATGAAGTTCATCGGCAAACTTTATGTTATAACAAATATGACTTTCGGTTGAACGTCTTCATCATACAATTGTGGCTTTAAGCATCCACTTTTCGATTAACAATTGCTACGAACACGTTTTTCCTTTTCTTTATTCTTTCACTCTCATCATCTTGATGGGCAAGGGGGCAACATAGTTCTATCTTTCACCAGTTGTTATCAAACATGCTAAGAAGGTAAGCATCACATCACATACAGACAAGAATTAATGAAATGGGAGAGAACGCTGGATTAATGCTATCCACTTTCATGGTGCACATCCTTAAAGATTTATTTTTATATAATTATATTATTGGTATGTATATTTATGAATTTTATTAATGATTAGTTTTTATCAAAATCTAATTAATTATCTTTAATAAAGTCTTCTCTCTATTTTTTTTATTCACTAAATTTAAACCTAAAATTTTAAGAGAATTGAGTTCAATATCACTGAAATATTAATGTCTTGTTGATTAAATACATCTAATTAAGTTCTAACATACATACACCCATTTTCATTCAACTCACTTTCATATTTTTTTTTCTTATCTCTTTTTATACTTTTCATCATCATCGTCATCGTATATCACATTTATCAACATTTATCACTTTCATCTTCTATCGTTTATTTATTTTTTCATTATTTCTCTCCTTCCATACTCTGAAGTCTGAAATGGGGCTGAACGTTTACCATCTTTGTATCCGATTCAAGACAAGGACGGGCCCAAAGACGATCCACCATAAAATCTGTTATTGAAAACACGTATGAAAGTTGAATCGGATAAACCGCGTGAAATGGCAATCACATCGCAATCGCACAAAAAATGCTTTTTGTTGATTTGGATACGAAAGGAGGGACATAATATCAGACACACTCGACTTGCTTCACATATTTTGAGTCAATGAAAATGTAAATCATCATTACTCATGACATGAGATATCCGACACGTGTCACCTGATGTTGAAATCAATATTTCAAGACGCATGAAAGGAAAAAAAATAAGGACAGTTAAAGTAAATTAAATCAATATCAACATGCAAAAATACCAAGGAAAAACAAATGTTGTTTAAAAAAACACGAATAAATCTCTGTTTGAAAACAATTATTTTGTTGGGACAAAACTTGCAATTCGCTAAAGAGCTTGTAGCTCAACTAATATATATGATCTTAGTTTTTTTATTTGCTGAATGAAATTTTATCTTTTCAAAAAAAAAAAATGTGATCTCAATTTTTTGATAGGGAGCAAACTTGTTAGATGTTCAATTATTCCTTGACAGAAAAACTAACTTTTATATTATAAAATAAGAAACTATTTTTTCATTTCATTTTTTCAAATAGACACTTTTAATTTCTTTTTCTTTCTTTTAAATATACATTTCAATATTGTTTCTTTAATTAGCTGAAATTTTTTTTTAGGTCATCTCAAAGTGCTTTCATTTTATTTTTATCTATATAAAATTAAAATTATAAAAACATAATAGTCATACTATGAATAATTACAAAGAGCAAGTAAAAATAATTGTCACATACAAAACTATCCACATGTATGTATTACAATAATCAAATTACACAAAAAAAAGTATAAAACAAAGATTGGTTGCCTATATCATCTTGATAGTGCAGATGTCCAAGCATCCTACTCTCAGTATAGGAACTCGACTGGATTACAAAGCTTTCATGCACTCCATCATAGTGCACATTGTTGCTCCAAGGAAGCAACTTTCTCCCTGCTGTCACAATATTTCTCTTTTAAGGTGTCAAGATTATGGAAGTAAGTTTTATCTCTCTCAACGAATTTTTCTTCATATGCATAATTAGGAAATTGAATCCCTATCAGCTCCCCTAGTCAACCAGTCCAACAAAAATAGCAACAAATTTTTAGTATAAAAATATGACAAATTCTAAAGATAATGAAGTAGATAAAACAAATATCTGAGTATGCACATTCCAAGTCTAATGTGACCTCGACATGAGACCCGCGACTACAAGTTGCATTGTGGACTATTCCATTGTTGGCTGAAGCTCAATTAGTTGGTTTTGTTTTAATTTGGAATGAGGACCTTCAATATTCCTCTTTTTCCCAATAAGCAACAAAACCAACCTAAGCCTCGTCCCTTGTCCAAATAGGGTTCTAAAGTCACTCTTGCCTTTGGGAGAATAAATAATCTACTCATGACAATGATCCCTTCAAACTCTGTCCTTCATAATATAATTGGGAGATATAGCAAGTACAAAAAAATAAGGATGAATAAAGACACACAATACAACTTACCACAAATTTTTCTTGACATCCATAAGGTACTCGGACAAGCAGTGCAGACTTATGTATACTTTAAGGAGTGCATTTATATTCCATGACTTTGAAGATGATGCATGTATGCTTCATTTTTCGTCCTCTAAATTTATAATAATTAACTCTCCTTAATTTCTTTGTTAATTTTATCTTTTATTAACTAGTTTCTTTCTTATAATTTGATTTATTTTTTCTCAATTTCGTTACTAATGAGTTTTTTTTTTTCTTTTTTCATGTAATATTTATGTCTTTATATATAATAATAATTTTCCAAAATAATTTATCCCTATTGACTCAAGATCCTAGATTTTTTATTACATACAAACAATGTTAAAATCCTTAAAATTGTTTCATAATGGAACACTTATTCATCTCAACAATTAGATGTAAAAAAGATATCAAGTCAACATTTTATTGTAATCGTTATAGTTTGTTATCTCAATATGAATGAATTAGTATCAAAGTTGTTATTTTCTAAGTTAGTTTGATTGTCTTCTCTACTTATATATAAATACTCTTGTACTGTGTTTCTTAATATGATAGATTCATATTTCATATTCAATCATTTTTCTTCTTTGATTGTTCTCTCTCAAGATGGGTGAAAGAGTTCACTTGCAAAAAATCAAAAGAATTATCTCTGATATTTATATACAAATACTCCATATTAGCATAAATTTTTTTAATTGTGAATTAATTATAAATCATCTAAAGTATGACCTTTAAATAATTATTATGAAAATTAACAAATTCATCATATGTAATATCGGTATAAAAAAAAACCCT